TTTTTTCACATTAAGAACGCTATTATTGATTTTGTTTTGTGCATTTAGTCTAATCATCTATATTTTTCATTATTGTTTTATAAAAAATCCGCAAGGTATGGGTTTCTTCCAGAAATGATTTATCAAAACAGTAGTCATGCCTGTACAGTTTTTAGTACGGAGGTCCTTAACCAATACGCCAGTTCTTCGAAATTCGTTCTTGAAGTGAGGTCACTGCCAAACAGAAGGACTTGTAATGTCACAGATACATGTTTGAAGTGATTTTTATGACTGTCCATTTATTTTGGGGTTTCGCCAGACCCTGTGTGAGATATAGTCGATGATTTGAGAGTAGTATGACCCCCTGCTTGTCATTCCTACCCAGCAGTGTTAAATGCCTGACGTCCCGTATCACGGGAACACGAGGCAGGTTGTAAAACGAAATGTTTCGAGAGTTTATGGGGTTAAATCTACATCTTTAATTTAACGCCTGCTCAGGTAAACATTTAAACTTCATCACATGTCACAGGAGTGTGAAAGATTACCGTTATCTCTGGGAACATGGGCACAAACTCGCCGTGGAGTTTGACGTTTATTTCGGAGATGGATATATATGGAATGTGATAGTTTTCTCTCACGGAAGGGGGTGGGGCGATACACAGGGTGTCTCATATAAAAGTATAGGCTAAATATCATCATGGCCTATACAAAACTTCGTGAAAGGTGGCGAACATGGGTAATCTCTCATGAAAAGGCGTCAAAAACATACCGGCCAAGTCGCATGTATTAGCGCAGGTCACAACCTCTAAATGACCTCCGGGCCCCTGCACAGATTGTCGTATACATGTATTTTGGACGACTCTCTAGACTTGCATATGCATTGCTTATCACACTATTACTTATTTAACACCATATTACTTTGAAAGCTTTAAAATATCAAAATACACATTAGACTTTTGAAGAGTTAACATGCTGAAATGACCGCTTAATCTGAACTTTGACCTTCTATGACCCTGATATGCAAAACGACGTTAATCTTTCGTAAAAAAAGGCAAAAATGAGTTATATCGGGGGCTAAAAGTGGGAAATATTCATATTTTCATTTTCACTGCGGGTTCCTCTAAGCATTTTCGGAAGAAACTGCGTTCATAGATAGGAATGTGAACGCAATTAAACCAGCTTCATGGAATATGTAAGTAACCAATTCGCGTTCATACCGTCATGAAATTGAAAAAAAAAAAGCCGTTCAATCCTTATGTCAATTACAACAAACATGAAGGTTCTTTTGGGAGATCGAGGACAGGGCCATGAGTTGACTCAAGATATATTTGATTTCGGTGTCCTTGAAAAGTCATGCATTACACTTAATCGTGTCTGTTTTGAAGTGATTGGAGTGAATTACATTCTATAATAAGTCTCCGTGAGCGGTGTCTAGTGTCCCAGCCGTATACAATTACCGCATTCCTTGACTTCACCGGGAAATCCTTATATGTGGACCTGGGCACGTCGTATTATTATGTTATTATATTAGCAGGCGAAAGCGAACATTTTACCATAAAGATGTTTCGTGCCTCGCTCGTCCCATAAATCATCAAGATAAATTGTTTGTTCTATATAAAATGTTATGTCATTGTTTAAGTGCACTAAGAATAAGGACAAAGATGATAAAATGATCGTTTACTAGTAAAATTTACTTCTAAAAACAATAAACAAGGCATGAAGCAATGAATTAGGGAGAGACCAGAAACGCATAGTTTGTTTGTTTGGCCTTAAGATATTTAGTATGGATTGTGAAAATGTTTAATCAAGGATTGTTATTTGCTGTACAAATTTGAGGAAAACAATGTGGCCGGCTAAAATGACTTCCCAAGAATATGAACGCTTCAAGTCCACCAGTGTCTGTTTTAAACCACACATCATTGTATGTGTCATTTAAGGTTGATTTTAACATCGGGGTGATTTGTATCTGAAATATTTAACGTATTACACAAAACTACAGGAGTGTGAGGAGATAACGGAGATTAGACAGGTATACGTTTTAAAACACGGCTTGACCTTAAGGCGTTAAACAGCAATAGCACGGTACACACACGCCGCCCAGGGAACAAGGATTGGAATGCGTTGCATACATTTCCTTTAATGTTGATCTGGCAAAGTTGAACAGGTGACATACCACCAAAGTCCTACCAGCCACTGTCTTAATGGTGACACACCATGACCGCACAATGTAACATTGGTTGCCTTAAGGATCCTTGTGACATCGCTGGTGAAACACTAGAGAGTTCCACTGTTTTTAATGCATTAAATTACCTCCCCTTCATTTTTTTTGATTTTGGCTTCAACTGTAGTGGGACTGACCAGGGGAACTGCCGCTGATGACGTAGCTCGGTTGGTTAAAGCAACTGTATTGTGAACGGAGGATCAAGGTTCGAAACTCCCTCTGCACCCCTCCCCCCCCCCCCCCCCCCCCCNTATTAGATGTCATTTATAAAACCTGTTTTCATGTTAGTGCAAAGTTAAGCGTTCACGGTTACAGTTTTCGCAGTGGTAAGTGGATCCGTAACAAAATACGATTTGGTTTTGTTTTATATGGTTTCACTCCCTATCAACAGCTAAGGTCATTTGAGGACGTGCCTCCATGTGTGTGATACATGCGTGCATGTGTGAATAAGTGCTGGAGGCAGGGTATGGTGGTGTATTTGCCTCCTTGCGATAACGCGGATCTGATGCCGACTTTATAGTGCTATCTCACAGAAATACATTGCCAAAGGCACCCAGCACAGCATTCATCCGATTTATATTATACAAACTGACAACGTTAATGCTGAGTGTTCAGCAGGGAAGAACAACTACCATTTTTAAGGACTTTGGTATGCCCCGGCATGGGGACAGATCCAATTGCCTTTCTCACCTGGGCGAACGTTCAACATTAAAACCAAAAATCAGGAAAGCAAATAAGCTCCTTGCTATATAATCAAGAGATCCTGGAACCTTATTACATTTCGTCTCAATGGTAACCAAGTTTTAATCTTTTCTCGGATTTTCCGTTTGTGGGATCCGTTGTTCTTAGAGGCCGGTGTTGTTACCATCCAGGTTAATATTTATGAATTGTATTAAATTTCGGAATACAAGAATTTAACGTAACGAGTATAATGCAAATTTGTAAATTAATATGGACCTTACAATGAAAAGTATTTCAGGCTTTATCTATTACAAATAATTGTACAGTGTTTCAAACAGAATACTATTTTGTTTTGTTTTTTTGTTAAATAAAAATAATATTTTGGACGTTCATGTTTAAGGTGTTTACCTTGTCACGTGTCTTTGGTTACATTTACCTAGGGTTTCTATTTATGCTGTGACGAGAATTGTCACCTGACGGACCATGCGATCAATTCGACACATACCAGCCGAGTAAACACAAAGCTTCAATCCCGAAAAAATTAACAAGTTTTACGTTATTTTCAGTCTATTTAATCATTTATAGCACTGATTCCCTGCTTCCCTGGTGTGAAATATACGACAAAAGTCCCTTTAAATCCGAAAAGATGCAACGATTTTAATTGATCGTTTTGAATTCATTCAGTTTTTGGGCGTATGTGTGTTTACATACTTTCTTTTAATAATATTAAATCATGACCACGTGTTTTTGTGTATAACTGGTGACGTCAAAATGTCCCGTAATACATGTACGTATGTGTGTAGTCATATCTGTTTTTAAAAACCGCTCCTTATCGCTGATTGATTTTCCGCGATTTGAAATCGAAAGTAGATGTAGACGTTGTGGTTATTTCGCAATCGACATTACCGCCCTACATACCAGGGAGTGGTGGTTATACGTTAATATAATGATGCGAAACTTAATCGGAATTTTATAACACAGTACTGAAGAGCGAACAAGATCAAAACTGCACTCGTACATGAAGAATATATTTTATAGTGAGTATCTAAGAATGTGGCATCCATTGTTCGTGCACTGTCTAGTAAATGGTATCTTGTAGACTGGCTACCAGCCCCTAAGTTTTTACTTCTCGCTTATCTCCCCCTAGTCTAGAATCAGACATCTAAGTGATCAAAATTATTAGATTTATTCTAGAGACGGGGGCCAGTCTAGGTATTCGGTACCTTATGTACGATTTGGGAGGGCATCATGAGGAAAAACCCCTCTATATACCGACAAAGTAACCTTTAAACACCAGTACAGCTACCTCTATATAGAGGTACCGAAACCTCTATATACCGATACTGAATTCTCTACATACCGGTACGGTAGCATCAATATACCGGGTACTGTTATCTCGATACTCTGATACACTAACCTCTACAAACCAGCACTGTAATATCTACATACCGGTACGGTAACCTCTAGATACCGACATAGTAACTTCTCTTTACCGGAACCGAATCCGAAACCTCCGTATACCGACACAGTTAACTATATTTTTCGGACGATAGTCACGTTATACGAATACGGTTACCACTATATACCGGATACAGAACCTCTATACACCGGACTCTCATACAGGTACGATAAACTCTACACACCGATACAATAACCTATATATACCGGTTCCAAAACCTCTGTATACGGTACAGTCATCTCTGTTTACAGACACAGTAACTTCTATATACCGGTAGAGTATCATGTGCATTTGGATACAGTATCCTCTCTATTCCGGACATTGACCTCTGTGGTTAACTCTACAATCTGGCCAAATGAGTTGATACGTAAAAAGTCTATTTACAGTCATGACCAATACTGAGACTGACTCCTTATTACAACCAGTGCACGTGCAGGTGACAATATATAACTTACCCTGTCATAGTGTCCGGCTTATCTTTAAACGCATCAAAAATCATGATATTATGACTAATACAATTTTTAACATTTTAATCTGGCGTTAACAATCAAGAAAGTATTTTAAGATTACGTAAGCCGAGGTATTTATTTGATGTACACTCTGCGTTCTGGAGGGAGTTCCCCCTACCTATTATTAAAATGATTAATGTGAAATACGTCCAAATTTAACCACAATCGGAGTGTAAGTGCTTTATACATCGTAAACTAGGCATGACATGACATAGACCAAACACGGGCACACTGTATAAATTATATTCACGAGTAAAATATTTCTTTTTCCTTATACTTTTAAATGTTTCTCGTATGTCAATTTAATCGTTTTTAAGAGAAACAACTTTTACAAAAATATGAAACAAAGTTACACGCGCCAAAATATTAACACAACGTTAGGGTGGAGAGTTCCAGTCCTCTTTGTTGTATTTCCAACGTAGAAGAGTTCCATTTCCGACATTTTCCTGACTCAGAGTTACTTGCACATTTCCTGTAACAAACATGAAAAAAATAATCCGAAAAGAACCGAAAAATACGAAAAACCGAAAATATACGAAAATGGTAAATTTTACAAAAAAAAACCACATCTCCATAGCGGGATTTGATGAGGACCTCATGATGATGAAGCAGTGTATCCAGTGCGCCAGCCCCGAGTTTCCTCTGGCCCGGACACCAGACTAAGACATTTTGACAGAGAGAAAACTAGGGTTACCAATGCGTTACCATATATCTGCAACATTGGTTAATTTCAAAACGTTGTGAATCTCCCTGAAAAGCAAAGGGCAGCAACCTATGATTGACTTTATAAAATTATTGAGGAAATGACTTAAATAACATAAACTATAATCTTGCCGGAAACTGTTTTGCTATCCAAATCTGTAGTTACAGTTTTTAGGAGTGGTATGAGGATCCTTAAATGACTAGGAAAAATTCAACCTGTGAAACGCGGTTAATTCAATATCCGTCACGCTTGATTAGGTATCAATATGATCCGGTTAATTGGCAGTGATCGATTTGTCAGGTTCCCGAGGTGAATGGTGCACAGGTAAAACCGGATGTAAGTAGGTACGTAGGTATATGGACATATTATATAGGTAATAACGCATATATCTCAATAATAAATACATACTATAGACGTGGTCCCCACAACGTCGATATGAGATAGCGAATTACCGGTCCGATCCCCAGGTAGGAGATATAAACGAAAACTCCATTGGCCAGGTAGAAAGAATGTCTATTCCGTCATTGACTTGTTGAAAATATCATGTGAACGACGATATGCTGTGTCTACAAACAGAAGGTTGTGTACACCTGGGCTACCTGAGCAGGGACAGGTGAGGTAGCCGTACGTATACGTCGAACACATTCTTGTTCACCTGTTAAACCCAAGTACCTGTGTCGTGTACCTGCCCGAAGGACGTATATTAACACCAACGGTTGAGGATGTAATATGTATTTATTATATTAACACACAGGTGAGTTGAAGCTCAGGTAAAAACAGTATGTACCGGTATATGCATAAAAGCTGTAGACCTACATAATGACCTATATTTTTCATATGTGGAATTGGACAGCGAGAGTATATGTGCACCTGTTGTGTTAGCAGATTTTACCTGCCTGGTGCATATTTCAAATTGCTATATTTTGTCGCCTGTCGCTACCGGAAGTTGGTATAGACTGGTTTTTTTTTGACACGGGTGATTGCTCGTGTGTGTTTGAGGGAAGGTTGTGTCGACTAGTACTATTGCCTCGTCACCATTACGACATTGGGCAGGACACTTTTACCAATCTAGGGCTCTGTTCTCAGGTAAGTAACGTAAACGTACACGTTAAGCAAGCCATTTTTGTGTAAATTCTATATAGATCCGGGGTACCGATATTGTAATCATGTATAGGTACCGTATTTCAGTTCACCATTATACATATTTCTATAAATAGCCATTGTAATGCATTGATATAACGGCAGACATTTAAATTATAGATACGATTTAAAATGTATCGTGTCATACTATGCTTCGTCAACACCGGGGTATGTCTGTATATCTCGGGGGGTATACCACCATTGTCATTTAAGACCCCGATAACTCCTAAATTCTACACGGGTTGACTGTTATTAATAGGACTTTGATAAGACTAATGAATAGCTAGCACACGTGTTATGTATTTAGCCCCTACCGTCGGGCATGTACATGCCAAACAATCCCTATCGTCACACCTGTGTTTTATGGGGTGTCATATAATTTACACATGAACACGTGTTGTTACAACAGAATGAGGTTTTAAATGTACTTCCGGTGGCGGGTACAGGCACATTTGGAGTTTGTGAAACATATGGGCGTTGTCTGTTTCACTACTGTATTACATGTGTTTTGTGTCTGGTATCGATTTTCGGTGTGTGACTGGTCTGGGTGTATATACGGTGGTTTCTACCAACGGCCGCGTGTCAATTCACGCAAGGTAAACACGGTCTACCTATAATTGGTGAAGATCAATAGTGCAGGTGAGAAATATATCGCACTTGGTGTATTAGGGGGTTTGACGTTTGTGACACGATTAGAAATTGTATGTATTTACACCTGTAGTACCCTATAGCCGTGTATTGTACGGAAATACAGGTATAACATTGGAATTCATTCATTGTAGTGAACTAAATTATACTAAATCACGTGTTTCATTCAAAACTTGAACTACAGGAACATGAGAATGTATAAGTTACTATATTTGGACATATATCTCTATGTGCTGAGAGTAATATTCGTTATGTAAAAGTTTTAAATCAAACTTGCTAAAATGCCCCACCCCTCCCCACTGGTATATATTACATTGTCGACCAAAACATACAGTAGTGGATCCCGATACTCAATTCCGAGAGAAGGGGGGGGGGTATCAATAGGGGAAACACATGATTGTGAAGGTGATAGATTTACATAAGTGTCTAAGACACTTGTTTCTATTTCCTATTTTGTGTTTTGTTACAAAATGTTATATATATATATATTGCATATATATGTATCTAATTGAAATACTTGAATAAAAGAAAGTTTAAACTAACACATGACTTTTAGGAAAATCTTAAAGATCCGCCTCTGACGTCGGTCATAATAAAACGAACCATATCCGGTTTTTCCCTAACTAGGACCATACATGTATTGTTATTTTCACACCTTCGTGCTTTTACAAGAAATCGTGATACAGGTGTGTCGTTTGTACCTTTAAATGTTTGTTATGATTATGATGTAGTTATAAACAGTTTCAAATGTTCCGCGTGATTTCAGTTCAGTTCTGTCGTAAATAAATTCTATACAGATATACATTAATGCAACTATGTATGTTTGCCCACCCGAGCGAAGTAACGGTAACGCCTTCTTTCCACAAACAAGTCAACAAACACACGCGTAACCTCCCTCTACTAAACTAAATTTGCATCATAGTTAATATCAGTGTGTATGCCTCATCCCCTTCTTACAAAACATATATATGACTTCAAGAAATTAAAATAAAAAATAAATCCCATTCGACCTCCCCGTTTTTTTTTTTTTTTTTATATATATCTCAGTCATGCTACCTGAAACAAACAAATAATTGTGTGACCTAAATGATGATTCAGGAAGTAAAAGAAAATTCTCTAGAGAAGGTATATATATACTTGTACGGGTTTGATTTTAAATAATAGAAAAAAAATATACCGAGAGATCCACGTTTTGCATATCCTTTGTGTACAGGCGTGTTGTAGATATCAGTTTACCGTGGAATACAGAGATCACACTGGAAACAAATTAAAAACAAATTCTTTACAGGGCGTGACAAAGTTAACCTATTTTATCAGCCGAAAACATAACAAAATGTAAATTTCAACCACGTTACACGTCTTTAAATAAGACGGATGTAGGCATATTATTCACAAGATGTTATTACAGATAAACGAGAATGACTGTAATAAGTGCTTAAGCTAGTAGTTTTATGGTCACGTGTTAATGAGAAATTCTGTATAATTTTCGGACCAGGAAGTAAAAAGCAAAGACGATATAAAATGTACCTGTGTAATGTATTGTAATACCTTTAGTACTGTACAGGTAACACACACCTGTGTAATGTAATACCTTAAGTACTGTACAGGTAACACACACCTGTGTAATGTACTGTAATACCTTTAGTACTGGACAGGGAACACACATGTGTTATGTACTGTAATACCTTTAGTACTGTACAGTTAACACACCTGTGTAATGTATTGTAATACCTTTAGTGCTGTACAGGGAACACACACATGGGTAATGTACTGTAATACCTTTAAAGCTGTACAGGAAACACACACCTGTGTAATGTACTGTAATACCTTAAGTACTGTACAGGTAACCCACACCTGTGTAATGTACTGTAATACCTTTAGTACTGTACAGTTAACACACCTGTGTAATGTATTGTAATACCTTTAGTGCCGTACAGGTAACCCACACCTGTGTAATGTACTGTAATATCTTTAGTACTGTGCAGGTAACACACACCTGTGTAATGTATTGTTATACCTTTAGTACTGTACAGGTAACACACCTGTGTAATGTACTGTAATAACTTTAGTGCTGTACAATAAACACACACCTGTGTAATGTATTGTAATACCTTTAGTATTGTTCAGGTAACACACATGTGTAATGTACTGTAATACCTTTAGTACTGTACGGGTAACACACATGTGTTATGTACTGTAATCCCTTTAGTACTGTACAGGTAACACACACCTGTGTAATTTAATACCTTAAGTACTGTACAGGTAACACACACCTGTGTAATTTAATACCTTAAGTACTGTACAGGTAACACACCCCTGTGTAATGTACTGTAATATCTTTAGTACTGTGCAGGTAACACACACCTGTGTAATGTATTGTTATACCTTTAGTACTGTACAGCTAACACACACCTGTGTAATGTATTGTTATACCTTTAGTACTGTACAGGTAACACACACCTGTGTAATGTTCTGTAATACCTTTAGTACTGTACAGGTAACACACCTGTGTAATGTACTGTAATACCTTAAGTACTGTACAGGTAACCCACACCTGTGTAATGTACTGTAATACCTTTAGTATTGTACAGGTAACACACATGTGTAATGTACTGTAATACCTTTAGTACTGTACGGGTAACACACATGTGTTATGTACTGTAATCCCTTTAGTACTGTACAGGTAACACACACCTGTGTAATGTTCTGTAATACCTTTAGTTCTGTACATGTAACACACCTGTGTAATGTACTGTAATAACTTTAGTGCTGTACAATAAACACACACCTGTGTAATGTATTGTAATACCTTTAGTATTGTTCAGGTAACACACATGTGTAATGTACTGTAATACCTTTAGTACTGTACGGGTAACACACATGTGTTATGTACTGTAATACCTTTAGTACTGTACAGGTAACCCACCTGTGTAATGTACTGTAATACCTTTAGTGCTGTACAGGGAACACACACATGGGTAATGTACTGTAATACCTTTAAAGCTGTACAGGAAACACACACCTGTGTAATGTACTACCTTACGTACTGTACAGGAAACACACACCTGTGTAATGTACTACCTTACGTACTGTACAGGAAACACACACCTGTGTAATGTACTGTAATACATTTAGTACTGTACAGGTAACACACACCTGTGTAATGTATTGTAATACCTTTAGTATTGTTCAGGTAACACACATGTGTAATGTACTGTAATACCTTTAGTACTGTACAGGTAACACACATGTGTAATGTACTGTAATACCTTTAATGCTGTACAGGAAACACACACCTGTGTAATGTACTGTAATGCCTTTAGTACTGTGCAGGTAACACACACCTGTGTAATGTATTGTAATACCTTTAGTATTGTACAGGTAACACACATGTGTAATGTACTGTAATACCTGTAGTACTGTACAGGTAACACACCCCTGTGTAATGTATTGTAATGCCTTCAGTATTGTACAGGTAACACACATGTGTAATGTATTGTAATACCTTTATTACTGTACAGGTAACACACACCTGTGTAATGTATTATAATACCTTTAGTACTGTACAGGAAACACACACCTGTGTAATGTACTGTAATACCTTTTACAATACATTACACAGGTGTGCGTTACCTGTACAGTACTAAAGGTATAACAATACATTACACAGGTAACACACACCTGTGTAATGTATTGTTATACCTTTAGTACTGTACAGGTATCACACACATGTGTAATGTACTGTTCTACCTTTAGTGCTGTACAGGTAACACACACATGTGTAATGTACTGTAATGCCTTTAGTGCTGTATAGCTACTTAAACTATTACAAATGACCCGTCACTACAGATGTTACTGTAGATTTTTCCGTTTTAGTATCTAACAGATGTCGAAAGATATGTTAATCGTTTGTTGACGAGCATTAATTAATTTCAAAATTGACGTCATTCTTTTGTTGTAAATGACGTTAATGTTTGAACTGTTTAACGTTATAGATGATTATTTCTTGTACTTGAAAAATCGTGACTTCCGTCACTTAAATGCATAAATCTTGGTTATTTTAGGTTTGTATTGCATTACTTACCTTTGACAAGCCAAAGTCATATCGGGCACAGGCACACGAGAATTCGTTACAGTATAGCTATGTTTGGATCTAAAAGTTTTAGGGGTCTATATCAATATCATCATTGGGGATGACACATTTATCGACATTTGATCACCTTAAGCTTTCTAATATAACTCTGAACACGCCAGTATAGGTCCAAACACCAACTAATTATCATGTCCCTGTGATTTCTCCAATGTCATATTCGGGATCAGGTTTAACCGATGTCACCAAACTGCCATGGGGACCCCTGTACTGGGATTTAGGTCGAGGAATGTAAATATACATAAGATTAAGTAGATACCGGTAACAATTGAGATGCATGCCGTTTCAGTAACACCAGTGGTACAAGCTTGACAAATTACAAATTCGCTCGCTTGGAGGTACTCGAACATCTGAGAATTAAAGCGCATCTGGTATTTTGAAACATTTCCTGGAGTGTGGAGACAATTATTAGACATTTATATCAACAACCGACAAAGTCACCACCCCTGATCTTTACACAGGGACATGTCACATGCTAAATTAATGAAAGATAATGTAGGTTTACGTTACAATAATTCAGTCGCGTAGCTGCCCATACGCTGGTACGCAGGTGAATCAACTAAACTTTCAAACAGGAAAAAAAAACTCCTTGTTGCAACTCTATGTCCAAAAATCAAAAACACTACTTATTGCAACTCCTTGTCCCCCTAGCAAGGCCCGCCCTGGATAAGCTCCTAAATGAATCCACTCCGAGCAAGGGCTAGCTACGCCCCTGCATATGCTACAGTCATACTGTGATGTTCACTTATATACATTTGCATATCTCTCAGTAAATAGCATGTGATACATGTTCGTCCCTGTGTGAATCTATCATTGCTTAATGAGACAAACGTCTTGCTTTAAGCTGTACAGCTGATATCGGAGGGAAAATTTGCTGACTATTTCAGCATAGTACAACATCTGTTGGGTGGCACTTAGTGATAAAACGTCCAATACTATTCCTTGCACAGCGTGAAGGGTGTCGACATGTTCAAGTGCCTGTGAGGAGAAAGAACTTAAATGTGAACGTTGTTATGGCACATTTTGTTTCATTTTTAAGGGCACTTTAAGTCGTGAAAGATCCCATATTCTATTCGGGAAAACACTCATAGCACAAATTTCATCATTATACTGTATGTAACATTGCAAAGTAGTTATCCGACAAACGCATCAACCGTTTTATTACACCTCATATATATATACATGTAATAGCGAATCTAATTGGATTGAGTTATTAAGTTCCGCTCGAGCTCCATGATGCTATCCTCCTCATTCGGAGTCTCTCTAGAAATAGGAAGGAGAGGTAACATCGCGGAGTTCCGAGTAATTAAAATAGGCGACAACAATAGCGCGTATGCATGGTTATGGTTACTTCCTATTTTGTCGAATAGATGTCCCATTTATTTTCATGTTTCACGAAGGTAAATACTGGGTGACATATTATTAAAACTGGGGAAACAAAGACAATTGTTTCCTTATCACATGGGAAATGAATATATTCATAATAATTCTTTTTGATACATTTCCCTCAATTTATCGCCAAACCGCTTTATAACGCCAACATATTCTCTGGACAAATGATGACAGTATAACAAGGTTTTAATATCTGATGCTATGACTAAGTAATTAATGGGTTACGCTAGCGGATTTTACAACGTTATGGTTGTTATATTATAACAATTAAACGTTCCATTGTATTAATCTTGATTATATTTGTATGTTTCAGAAGCGACAGTACAGCTAACGGCACTGCCCCGCGAGCGACTGTGGAGAAATCCATTCTTCACCATGGACGGCGAGTGTTCAGTCGAATACCTCGGCTGCTCAACCCTTTCAAAAGCAACAACTTCCGGTCTGGGGTCAATCCAAAAACCGCTCCGGGAGAAGTATATAGAATTCCGGAAACCTTCCAAACATAAGAAGCTCAGCCAGGAAGCTGTGTTACGAATAAATCGTGATGGGCTGATAGTGTTGTTCCCGGGCGCACCCCCGGGTCAAGCTAACCAGATGTTTTATGATTTTCCCTCCATAAATCTTTTCGAAGCCGTTCGTTTTATGGCCAGGAAAGGTCCGGACAAAAAAATGGGAGCCGGATTTGTGCCGATCGAACAAAATCGAAATTTGAACAACGGTGCAGAAAATCTGTTTTCCCACCTGGAAAAGAAAAACCACAATTTGTTGAAAATGGACCATCCTGCCATGCTCGCCTGCGTCATGAGGCGAACCTCCGGGGTGCGCGCGCTCGAGTGTCATTGCTTTATTGCAGACAGCGATAGTCAGGCGATCAGACTTGTTTCAATGTTACGGGGGCAGAATCACATGGGTTTTGAACGCGAACCCCCGTTCCCGAATCGCTACGGTGAATATTCTGGGCCTAGTCCTGGTGGTCACCATCCTGACATTTTACGTAACAGTTATGGCGAATATAGCGCATACCGGAATGAACCTCAAATGGGACCCGGACCGGAACCGGGCAGACATCATCCGGACATGTACTATCCCGACAGTAGACGATCGGACGGATGGGAGGAACCTGTCCGTCGTGTTAGCGACGAACCCCCAGTGGAGGATAGATACCTGGGAGATCCTCGGCCGCTCTATGGCGTACCACCACAGTCACGTGACATGGGGCCAGCGCCTCACGACATGGGTCCTCCCGCTCTAAATAGACATTCGGGCGAGGGCAGACATTTCCTGCACGAGCGCCAGTCTTCAGGTGACAGTGGTTCGCGTGGCTATCATGAACCCCATAGGGCGGACAGCAATGGTTTTATACACGAGAGACAGAGATCTGGAGAATTCGTCCGAGGTGATAGACACTCCGATCATGGGCAAGGGGAGCGGTTCTCCCGGCCTCAGACACGTGACGAGGGTCGTGCCGGACGAGTTATGTCCCCTGGCAGATACAGGGAACCACCGTCAACTGCCCCCAAACCGTCCCGCGCACTGTCGCCTGGGCCACGCACACAAAGATCGCCCCCATCTTCCAGACATCAGGGGTTACCAAGACAACCATTTGACACCCCTCCATCGCCCGTGACCAGATCGTGGAATGAACCAGTGTACTCTGCCTCGAATCTCGAAAGTCGACAGCTTGAGGAGAAACAAGCTGCCAAAGTGAAACCCGTTGCTAAAGTCCCTCCTAACCACTTGCTGGGAGTGAAGGTTTTACCTACCGGCCTTATGGCAGCTCTTCCCAAAAAGGTGGAGGCGGAACCTTCACGCTATGATGGCGATGAAGAGGACCCGTACGATAATGCAATGTCAAGAGAACAGTTTTACGGTAATAAACAGGACTTCAAATCAGACACAGATAAGCGGGACTACAGGCGTAGTGATGAATTTCTAAAGCCAGGTCCCGGCGGTTACGCGCCTCCGGATATAGTTCCGCATCACGATCGAGACCAACGGTATGGCACCGACTACGGCGAAATGTACCGCAAGCCTAATTCAAATAATTCTTCTCAATATAATAAACATAGTGGAGGCAACACGGATAAAGCCTGGTCGTTTGAAAGTGAATTTCAAAAGTATACAAAGTATGCAAGTGACGATGATAATAGTGATAGGGGATCGCAAGGATATTCAAGCCATGGCTCCAAAGGGGGAGGCAACGAATTATCGGAAATGTTGCACAAGATGAATGTCCAGAGAGGCTCTAGCGAAAGGGCAAAAACATCCGACACAAACTTCGAAGAGCAGCTGGGTTACTTACCGTAGTGATCAACGCACAATGTCATTTAGATGCAACAATTCGGTCACAGTGTGTGAATTTGTGACTCATTGACAACAGATATGGCCACGGTGTGTGATTTAGTGGTCCGTGACCGTTTTCGGTTAGGTACCTCGGCTAGTCTCGTTCAACCAGACTCTTGATCACTTGTTCGGCGTAGCTTGCTCAGGCAACAAGAGTCTGGTTGAACGAGACTATACCTCGGCATGAAAAACGGCCACAGTGTAGAGTTTAGCTAACATTGACAACAGAATCGGTCACGGTGTGTGATTCAGTTACCTCGACATCAAATAAGGTGACAGTGTGGAGTTAAGTTACCCCTGACAACAGATATGGTCACAGTGTGAAATTTTGTTACGGATGACAACAATTACTGTCACGGTGGATGATTTAGTGTTTCCTTTAACAAAAGATACCTGTAAGTCACAGTGACAACAAACGCGGTCACGCTGCGTGATTTAGCTACCCCTACAACAAACTCCGTATGTAATTTGTGTTACTCATGGCCTCAAATACGACCGGGTTGTTAACCCAGTTGTCGACAAGTTTGCTGTTTACAATTTCATTTATTTTTGCAATATATATTATAAATCTACCTTTTTTGACCAAAAATAATGGTGTGTGTACTTGTGTAATATCCTACTATACAATATGTTAGATATTTGTTAGATATTTCAATTGAAAACATAAATAATATTGTTTAAAGTTTGATCGTGAAATTGTGGGTACACGTACAAGGAGGCTGAAAGGGGAGACTACTCTTTAAACTATCCAAGGCAAGCGGTAATTTTTATGCAACGCAAGGGAGATAATTTGGAATTTTATCGAAAGTTCTATGCAAAAGGCCACGTATGTGATATATATATATATATGAATACCGATGTTACAAAAAACCTGTGTATTTGTCAATATGTTTGATAATCAATTTATCAACAAAAGATCTGCATACATTTAGCATAGTCACTACCTATATTTTCATAATATCAAGATATTTTTAAAAATCAAAATATCATAAGTGCTGAATAGTTCTTGGATACGTTCAGTTTCGTTTGTTTTATGAAATGACGTGTGTGGCGCAGTGAATGATGGTGAATACATGTACATGATATATATTATATTATGGAATGAAATGTAAGAATTTATTTAAAACATATTAGTGGAATTCTCAACGAAAACAATGTTGATAGCTAGGTTTAAACGCAATTACTACAATACTGGTTGTAGTTACCTCCCCTTAATCGAATGACAAAATATATATAAATATCAAAATTCCTATTATAGATCATAAGACGAGAGGTTTTATTTTCGTAAAAGATATATACGTAATATATATAAAAAAAATATACGTGTAAGGCAGAAATATTATATAATTTTTGTTTTTTATTACAGATGCGAACTCGGTATCATTTTGAAATATAAATGCAAAATGAATGTTTCATTTCTTCTGAAGAAAGCACAAATCAATACAAATAAGTGGATTGGTGTTCTATTCAATTACATTGAAACTTTCCTAATTTTCTAAAAAATGTTTATGAATTGTTTCCTCATTCAATAACAAAAGAAAATCCGGTGAATTCTTAAGGTTGTTTAATATTTTAGATGTTAAGGGGGGTGGGGTGTAGGGTTGTTAAAGCTGTTAATGGGGGCAGCAGGGGGCGTGTATGGTTGTTGTTTAGGGGGGAGGCAGGGGGCGTGTACGGTTGTTAAATACATGTATGTTAGATGGGAATGGGGGGAGGGTGCGTGGAGGCTTGTAAAAGATGTTAAGGGGGAGGGCAAGGACTGTTTAATATGATAGATGTTAACGGGGGCCCCTGGTGTGTAGGGTTGTTTAATATGTTAGATGTTTTAAAATGGGGGGGGGGGGGGGGGGGGGGGGGGGTTGCGATGGGGGTACTATAACGTATAACATTATAGTAGGTTGGAGCAGATCTGTAAATATCAGCCCGATTAGCACAAAACATAATAACACTTATATATACATATAACCCATGTAAGGTTAAAGTTCACAAGCCAACAGATTATTGTATAAATATTCCGTCAGGTAAAGAAAGAATTTGAGTCTCATATTGTGTGCATATTTTTGTATAAAGGTATTCATTAATATCCCAATGTTATTAAGTTTTTGTAACATAAATTGATTATTGTGTTGTTAAACTTATTCTCACAAAGAGTTGCCATATTTTTATTACACAGATAAAGCGCATTTAATCAAAAGCTGCTCTTGTTTAAAAACATTAAATACTACGGAAATAATGAGTATGTTGTCGTGTTATTTATTTATTTACTTATTTATTTATTAATTAACCATTGTTACAGTTCATCGGATGTTCAACATCTTTAACGTCTTTGTGATTTGTTGTCAATCATTCCTGCTGGCGGCAAATATCTATATTAACATATCTATCGTCTTCAGCTTGGTAGGGTATACGTAGTGAATATTTCAATATGGCGTCTTTCACGGTTCGGTGAGATAACAGTCCAATGGCAGACATTGCATGGTTCATTCAACATCTGTCACATGTTTCGGATCCACTATGTCTTATTTTACAACAAAGGAATGCTGGCAAACCTCTTTTTCCTTGGATGCACGTTTAAATTTCTTTGACGGTAAATTAAACAATGGCGGCTTCGTTCTGGAACATTCGACCGCGTCACTACCAGAGCAGTGTGTTAATGCGCGTAAATGGCGAACGTCATAAATTGCGACAATTGCACTCATACCTATGAGTTTTGTCGCAGTGATTGGAAGAAGAAATGAAAATAAATATTTGAAAGGCTACTCAGATTAATTTATTTAAAAGTTATGATAAAAGAAAAAAAATATATACTACCGTATACGCCGTCGAAATGAAGGTCAATCCTTATAAAACTGGCTGACGTTACATAAAATTTTGCGGCCATGACATCATCAGTAGACGCTGGATCGTTACTAAGGACAGCACGTGTAAACACTTCTATTCTATCGTATTAGATATAAAACACAGATCGCTGGAACCCTTTTAATTTTTCAGGTTGTCTCCCTTTCAAACAGGTATGTTGTATTTCATATTAATTACACTTAGAGAAAAATAAAGGGAAAGCATTAAACTTAGCTGAATTCAAAATAGTGATAAAGTACGGAAGCCGGTACGGGCCACCGAGAAAAAATTGTGATGTCGTAATAGCGACTTGCTATCTCGTGATAATTATATATACCGACATAGCTATCTCATTATTACGACACAGCTTATCGTTATTACGAGATAGCTAAGTTGTTACTACGAGATAGCTTGGTCGTTTTTACAACACAAGAGATTTCCTCGGCTCCCGTTATATAGTGATTAAGTGACAGTCTGCTATACCACTAGCCCTCCACCACTGGACCGCGGGTTCGAGACGTTCGTGGGGCAGTCGCCAGGTACTGGTCGTAGGTCGGTGGTATTTCTCCGGGAACTCCGGCTTTCCTCCATCACCAAAACCTGGCACGTCCTTAAATGACCATAGCTGTTAATAGGGGACGTAAAACACAAACAAACCATTTCGTAATTTAGCTACTGTGAAATTTAAAAAAAAATACATGTCCGGAAGGGAAGTAACTCGTACTGTAAGAAGCTATACCTTACTAATGGGGAATAACTCTTCTCCTCTTACATAGTAAAGTTAGGATTAACTTAATTGTAGGCAATTAACAACATTACTTAATTTACGGAGCCCTACATATGTTAATAAATATTCATTTTTAATTTTTCCTGGTAAGTTTTATTAAGAAAACATACAAAATCTTACTAACGGGGGATAATGTGCAACTTGATGTCACGGGGATTACCCAGCCGGACGCGTGGTGTTAGGAAGTTCGTGACCACGAGAAACCGATTGCGAGTCGGAAGTCAGTATTTGATATGACAATGTTAAAAAAAAAAAAATCAGATTAAGAAAATAATAATAATAGTACAATGTTGCACCATTTATGATTTTTGCAATGTTTATAATCATTTCTCGCAACTACGTTATCTCGGAGAAGGGGATATAACTCTTCTCAGAAACGGGACTATGCGTAGTAATATGAAGTGGTCATTGTGTGTGAAATCAGCTTGACCGGTTGCACGAGAATCATTGTATTCATAGTGTACTCATGGTCTAATGGCAGTTTTCAGTTGTTAGATTCATGTACAGAACAAACACCAAGAATGTAAATATACTACCCTGTTATTCCACGATAAACGAACGCACTTGGACCGTTCTATAAGCAAAGCTAAACATGCACAGTTTCGGAGAATAAAAAGAATGTATCAAGAATATTATGCCCTTCTTTCATGCGTCTACTGAATTACATAACGTATCTTAAATACTACATGTGGCTTGACATTGTTTTAGAAAGAAAATACGCAAACTAGCAATAGTCAGCATTTTAGTTTCGGTCAGGTACGTCTTGAGCGTATCAAATTTTTCTGAGGTCAGCCTCGGTCCAGATCTGTGCCCGTCGTTTTCTGTACAGGTTCAACGGGTTCAACCGTTTCAACCGGATAACCGAATGTACCCTTACTTTCTCTGCACCCCTGGAATATGTCGTGACGATGTCAAAGGTACAAGTTAGACCATTTTCATCTTTTGACGTACATACAAAAAAGTGCGGTGAAATTAACTGGCTTGAAGCCGGGTGTCGCTCCTCTGTTATCTGCAAACGACAGGTATCAGCCTTGCGATTGGTCAGATTTTTTAACCTGAAACTAATCAAATAGCTAACTGCGTGCCTTCAATTTTGTCTTGACATATTCTAGGAATACAAAGAACATGAGTGATGCATGCTTCTCTGTAATGTTTCTGTTGTGTACTTTATGGGTCTCATACTATTCCTCAAGTGGTTAAGGCGTCTGTCATTCTGCTGCCAATAGCCCTCCACCACTGGGTCGTGGGTTCGAGACCTACGTGGAGCAGTCGACAATGTACTGACCGTAGGTCGGTGATTTTCCTCCGGGAGCTGCTTTCCTCCATTACCAAAACCTGGCAAGTCCTTAAATGACCATACCTGTTAATAGGACGTCAAATTAAAAACAAACAAAAAATATTTGAGTCTTATGCAATTAAGTTTCTTGCGTGCTGTAACGGTGCTGCTAGTCAGGCGGTGTTGTAGTTATCCCAGTGCTTACCTGTACCTTTCCCATTTCAAAGTGCGAGCCCTCAGAATTAACTTGATTCGCCATATTGAAATACACAGTTGTTGCGTTTGTAGTCGTGTTGCATTTAAGAGCGTTTTGTTGATAAGGTGATCACGTTGCATTCTTCTGGATGAAATTTCATCAACCAATCTGTTTCCCATAAACCAGCTGCGTCTAGGTGTTGTTGTCATTTAAATCCACCTTTTGTTTTTGTTATGCGTTGCTTTGTTATTGATGTCCTATGCAAAGATTCCGGACGTTTAACAAATTAACAGTGCTGTCACATCAGTCCCAGTAAGTCACAAATCATCTTTGTCGTGATTTATAACATTTATTTTACCTATGTTGGGTTCACTTATCTCATAGTATGCGATCGTATGTAGCAACTATACAGTGCAGTACCACTAAGTCACGATTAAAAACAGCCCCCCCCCCTCTCCCCGCCCTCTCTCCCTCTTT